TCCTATGACCACCTAGGCGGAAGTAGCAGAGGCCGAAAAGTCTTTAACCTGAAAGCCTCAAAAATTGGGAACCCAGAGCACTGAATCAAAGGGCAAAAAGAGGGACCCTTATGGCGACCCTTAGCCTATAACGGGCTATATAATGGGTATATGATAGCTATATGGTCGAACCTCAACCACAGCCATATCCACAGCTACTACAATGACAACAACCGCAACCATAATCACAACAGCGACAACAACAACAACAACTGCCACAACAACAGCAAGAACACTAACCACAGCCACAACCACAACGACAACAACAAAAGCAAGGTAAGTGACAGTTTTCCTGACGAGAATCAAGAAAAACCAAGCAATAGAAGCAATGTCCAAAATGTACGGCAAACGGTTTATCCCCTGGAAAAACGCAAGGTTACATACGCTTCGCTCGAAGTATTGTAGGTTCTTCTGGGAAAAAACCAAAGACAATCACACGAAGTCCGTCCACGATGGTAAAAAATACGTTCTCCCTAGAAAAACCTAAGATTAACGTATGTTTTACGCGACTGGTGTAGGTTTTCCCGCGGAAAACCCAGGAGAATCACATGAAATCCGTCGAAAATGTAAGAAAAACACTGTTTTCTCAAGGGAAAATCGAAGACAAGAATATGTTTTCCTTACGAAAACGAAGGAAAATCAAACCCAATCTGCACAAAAAGCGAGGAAACTAGTGTTTTCCCTTGGGAAAACCAAGGAAAATGACGCCAGATCTGTCCAAAAGGTAAGGAAACTAGTGTTTTTTCCTAGGAAAAACCAAGGAACAGCACCAAAAAAAAAAAGACCCCACCCCAAAAAAAAGGTACAGAAAAAATCAACCCCCCCGCAAGTTGAGTCGTGATCACCGGCGCCAGCTGCTCTTTCACAAGGCAGCAGGGGCCGAGGTTGACGGCATAGCTTTCCCCGGTGAGAAGCGTCCTAAGGCATAGTGCACCTCTGCCTGGCTGAAGTTGGCCGGCTCGTGCAGTGATCCTGCTGTGTGGGGGCGGGGCCCCCGTACAGCTTAACAAAATACTGCTTGATGTCTCCTCTACCGTCTGCAGGTGGCCTTCTGGAGTACGAAGTTGGAGCCTTTTCCGCTGAGTTTCGGGGCCAGGCGCTTGGCAGCACGGTAGACATTGTCTGACAGGACCACCTGCTCTTCAAGCTTAATCTTCCGCAGCCTGCCTTGACGACGGAGTTCTCTCTGCAGCTTTTGGAGCTCACTAGCCCGGGCCCAGCCTTGGAACAGCGCCCGAAGAACCGGGACACCATCATACACGGTTGCCTGACGTGCCTCGACCCGAATGCGATCTCGGAGTGCCCGCAGCTGCCTGACCATAGTGGCCATGCCCTTCTGTTCCTGAGCGTGGCAAAGCTTTGACAGCAGCGTCCCAACTACGACCAATATGCCTCCTGGCGCCGATCGCCAAGGTCACCGCCTCTATGTTGGCGGCAAGACCCGTTACGAATGCAGCTCTGGAAGGCGTGTGTGCCGTCTCACAGCTGCGGAGGCCAAACAAGTTGTGGCTGTGTTTTTGCTGCAGGCCAGAGCCCTTGCCAAGTCCTATAGCATGCTCACCAGGGAGACAAATGCCAGCTTCATGGCTCGCTTCAAGGTGGCAAACCCTGTGGTGATCATTGACAAGGCCATTGCGGCTAGAACATTGATGGATGAGTGGCTCAGCCCCGCCCTGCAACCTCGGCAGGCCCAAAGCCAAAGGAGAACCATGCTGAGAGCCCATGTGAGGGATGCCAGTGCCGGCAGGGACCCTGCTTCGTCTTCGAGCCCTGTCAGTTTGCTTCCTGTTGGTGATATCTTTGAATGTGATGTATGTCGTCAACAGTTGGCTACGTCGGCAGCCTGTAAAAGGCATCATTTTCTCACGCATATGAATGAGGATGAACGGGAGGCCAGACAGGAGATTGTGAAAACGGCCTCCACTTCGGCGCCTATGGAACATTCGCGAGAAGGCATGCCGTGGTGCAGACACTGCTCCAAAAAGTGCAACAACTGGCCTAACTTCTACTGTCATGTCAACTCTCGTAGCTGTGATGGTCTTCGAGCATTTTATCAGGGGCAAACTCCGGGGCTTGAACTTGCCGGCATGAACAAAGCTCTTGTTGAACGTGCTGATGTGCTTGAGTTCTCACAGAGCTGCGCCTGGCTGGATCTTGCAGGGCTGCCTGCAGTGCGAGAGCTGATACAGCATTGTCCTTAGTGTTTTCACTGGGTGGCTACACCTCAATACATGAAGCGGCACATGAAGGCCAAACATCCTGAACTCACACAACTGATTGATGATTGTACGGAGTTCGTAAATGCCAGCAGCATTGGGATTGTGAGCCCGTGCCGCTTCTGCGGAGTTGAGTTCCAAAGGCGAGATGCTCATCTACGTTCGTGTGCGGGACTGTTCTGTGGAGCCTTTGTGTACTCTAGAGTTGCCCGAGGCAAGCCCCTGAACTTTATCCGCCATGACCGGCAGCAACCTCAGTAGCTCCACTGGGCAGCCAAGGGGTGGGGAGTCAGCAGCGGAGCTCGGAGCCAGCCAGGTGAATGGAAGGTCTTCAGCAGAACGACGAGATCACCGGAGTTGTTCAAGGGCCGCGAGAAGGACGACCGGCCGTCGAAGTGGAGGCGCCCAGATGCAAAGGGCCCGGGAGGCCGCGGAAAAGGCCACAACGGCTCAGCAGCGAAGGACAAGACCTACCAAGAATCCTAGGGAAAGTCAAGGAGTTAGTGGCAGTCGGAGGGGTCCCGGACCGAGGGCCACGTCAAGGAGATGGACCTTCTCACGACGCTAGTCCTGCGCCACGACAACCAACTGACTACCAATGCCCAGGACACTGTTCAGAACCGATGTCCCGGGCAACCTGGCGGCGATCCTCTACGAGGCGGGGAAGGCATGGATCACGATCAAGGTAACTACGCCGGAAAAATTGGAAGCACCAATGGTCACCAATGAGAATCATCTTGATGCTAAAGTTGCTGACGGTTGTCCTCCAAAGGTTCGACCTGATCCTGGAGCCCGGCGACAAGCAGGAGCAAGCGAAGCAGCTCGGGTGGATGACGTCCGATGGCACTCAGATGAATGCCATGAGATGGGATCCGGAAAAGCGACGACCTTCATGCTAGACCTGGGCCTTCGCACCAAGGAGGCGGGACTGATGTGGCAACACATGAATGCTTTGGCACATTCGGCGGTGTGGGCGGTGAGCGGAGCCTACTTGACACACGCCAGGTTGCAGAGGAACCACTGGCCCAGAAAGTCGCACAGGTACAAGCACGGAATCGAGGCAACCGGGGAGGACGATGAGCAGTATCAGTATGGTGCTGGAGGTCAAACTCTCCAATCGGGGCAATCACTGCTACTCGAATGCTTTGATGAAAAGTCTTCTACTGCTGGATGCGAATCGGGCTGGGGAGTGCATCCTGCCGCCGCCACTACGAGGCACTCTGCACAGCTTTCTGAGTGCGCGTAGGCCGGTCTTCATGCGGGATAACCCTTTTTGGCGATCAATGTTCAGGGGTTGGCAGAACCCACACACTCAGCATGATGTGGCGGATTTCCTTCAGCATGTTGGACATTGCTGCCCTTCTCTGCCACAGAACATTGGTGTCCATTGGGAGGCCAGAGAACAGACTCTGGAGGGGTTTCGGGTTCGCGATGCGGGCCTCTCAATGCCGTTAGGTCTGATTCCTTCTGATGCCATTGTTAATGGTGTTCACATTGGTGCTTCTGTGCAGGGGCTCGTTAGCTTGTTGATGCGTGGTCATTGCAAGAAGGGCTACGTGCCGCAGTGGTCTCACGAGGGGCTTTAGTGCTGCAGATTGGCCGATTCCAGCTGAATGCGTATGGCCGAGCTGTCAGCAAGAGGGACTTCCATGTGATTCCAAGCCGTACCATCGATCTTCCTGTGTTTGTTGATGACATGGTCACGACTAAGGTGGGTTTTACCCTCTGTGCGATCGTGGTACGCTTAGGAAGCACTCCGGATTCGGGGCATTATCAAGCATTGCTGCTTGATGATATCAGTGATCGATTGTTGGCCGATGATGGCCAAGCAGCGAGGCCATGCTCGGAGGACGAGTTTGATAGACTTTGCAAGGACTCTTACATGTTCTTCTATATCCGAGCGACTTAGGCCTCACTTTCAGAGCTTTGCTTTGGGTGTTCGCACCGGGAGCTCTGCTCTCTCTCCTGTACCTGGGGATGCGCTGCAGCTGTACGCCGGGGCCAATCGTGTCCTGTCCCCCGTTTTCGTTCGCAGAGACAGACTTTGCAGCGTGGAAGTGAAGTATATATGTATATATGTATATATGTATATATGTATATATGCATATATGCATATATGTATATATGTATATATGTATATATGTATATATGTATATAAGTATATGTATATATATATATATATGTACATATATCGCTCGTTTGGGGCACAGAGTCACAAGTCGGACGCAGCCCATTGGCTTGCGCCCAATTAAACCCACCTGCAAGAGTCAAGAGTCGGTGGGCCCCTCACGTGCCTCGCTTCGGCTAGCGAGAAAAGCGCCAACGCCCCCGGAGCAGAAATCTACTCGAAGGTAGTGTGCACTCGGGGCTCAAAATCGCAGCAGGCATGATGCATACCGTGAAGCGGCAGGTAGTTCCTCACAGTCGGGTCCAGTGGAGGCCATCCATTACTGCAGGGACCCTCATACAAGGCCACACTAAAGGCACAGTGACTGCGTATGCACCCTTTGGGCCCAGCGAAAAGGAAACAACTATCCAAACAAAAACACTAAGGCACTGAAGATATGCACAGGACATGCCGTAAGGCGTCAAGCCAGCAGGCTGACAGATGAGATGTGCATGGTCAGCATCTCATCGTGTATGGGCCGCAGCAATTTTGGATCTGCAGCCCTGGGGGCTCAACTTCAAAACATCACATGCTACTGTGCACTGCAGTAACAACACTTTTAACTACTCAAGCGGCAATTAGCTCAGCAATATTCCCCACTGGTACTCTTCGCCGCATTCGGCGAAGGCTTTCTCGGCTTCCTTCACGGTTTCATGGACGTGAAGGAGGTACTTGTTGTCGAAGGAGCCGACGGTTTTGGACTGGTAGACCCTCTTTCTGCGGTAACCCAGCAAGCTCTGCCGGCTGCTTGGAGTCGTCTGTCCTCCAGGCTCGGGTTGAAAGCATAGCCAAACACCAAACTCCGCAGGCTGCTTGGTAGTCGGCTGCCTTCAGTCGGCTGCCCTTTAGGCTCCGGTTGAATGCGTAGCCAAACGCCAATCTCCGCAACATTCCGCAACCTGCTCGGTAGTCGGCTGCCCTTTAGGCTCCAGTTGAAACCGTAGCCAAACGCCAAATTCTGCAGGCTGCTTGGTAGTCGGCTCCTGTTGAACGCATAGCCAACAGCCAAACTCCGCAGGCTGCTTGGTAGTCGGCTGCCATCCAGGCTCCCGTTGAACGCATAGCCAAACGTCAAACTCCGCAGACTGCTTGGTAGTCGGCTGCCCTCCAGGCTCCCGTTGAACGCATAGCCAAACGTCAAACTCCGCAGACTGCTTGGTAGTCGGCCGCCCTCTAGGCTCCGGTTGAACGCATAGCCAAACACCAAACTCCGCAGGCTGCTTGGTCGGCTGCCCTCTAGGCTCCGGTTGAACTCATAGCCAAACACCAAACTCCGCAGGCTGCTTGGTAGTCGTCTGCCCTCTAGAAACACCAACCTCCGCAGGCTGCTTGGTAGTCGTCTGCCCTTTAGGCTCCGGTTGAACGCATAGCCAAACACCAAACTCCGCAGACTGCTTGGTAGTCGTCTGCCCTCTAGGCTCCGGTTGAACGCGTAGCCAAATGCCAAACTCCGCAGGCTGCTTGGTAGTCGGCTGCCCTCTAGGCTCCGGTTGAACGCATAGCCAGACGCCAAATTCAGCAGGCTGCTGGTTAGTCGGCAGCATCGCATGGCGAACCCCGCACCGAAGGGCCTAAGTGGAGTTCTGGGGTCCCAGGCAATACGGTCCCTCTTGACTGCTCGATCCCAGACCTTGCATATATATATATATATATGTATATATGTGTATATATACATATCTATATATACATACATGTATATATATATATATATATATGTATATATATATATATATATTCACAGACACACACACACACACACACACACACATACCGGTCGAGCTTGCTTGGCGACCGAGTCTACCAGAGTACCCCGAGAGATGACAAAGTCAATCTGAGTTCCAAGTCGATCCTCTGCAGCATGTGGAGGGAGAAAAGTCCTCGCGGAGACACCCCCCTGGGACCATGTGTTAAGCACGCAGCAGCGATGCGCACGAAGAACATCAATCAGTTCGCCTTGATCTGGGTGAGGTTCTCTGCTCTGTAGACATCCTGGTCCACATGTGGGAGGATCTTCTCGGAGCGACTGGTTCAGGTCACCGACTACTATGCAGCCGTGCCTTTGAGGAGTCGCTCGAAGCCACCGGTCTAGTAGCTCCCAGATTCGCCTGCCCAGCTTCAGCAGTGTCTCCTGTTTGTTGCCTGTCAGACTCACCTTCTGGAGGTTCCACGCGTGCTGGTAGAGGCAAAGGCAATCTAGCGGTGTGGCAAGTAGCAGTCGCAAGTGAAGGGCACGACCTGGGATCAAGGCTGCCGTCCGGATCTGATCCGCATTGACCAGACCTGTGCGGACAAGGCGCATGATGCCTGATTTATCCGATTTTTCGCTGCCCGCGCTGTGAACAACATGGCAATTGATCGCACCTCGGTTCGTGAACTTGGTGGTGTACTCCAAGTCTGCAGGCCAGGCTGTCTCTTGCAAGAAGCAAATGTCCACACCCCGGTTGGCCTCTGCCTCAGCCTGAAGCCATGTGAGCACTTCATAGTACAAGGTATCATTCAGGCCTCCTGTGTTCCAGGTCAACACCTTCAATCTTGGGGCCTGTGTCGATCTGGCGAGGGTGTGTCTGCCAACAGGACCTGATGATGTACTTGGTGGCCTGGTTGATATCGAGCCACCTTGCTGAAGTTGCCTTAAGGAGACTTTCCGACCACGATACCACGTGGAGTGCAATGGGTTGAGCTCTGCACGATGAATGGCTCGTGCATAAGCTCGCTTCCTGGGCTGCCAGGCACCTGAGTGGTGCGGGAAGCTGTGGCTGTCGCCACCCGAACGCTTCGCCCTGATGTAAGCTGAAGCTTGCTGTTGATTGGCTTCAGAGTTCCCTGGGTGCTCGGGAAACTCAACCCTCGCATCTGCAGTCACCGCTGTTGTTTCAAAGAAGAGACATTGGAAAATGAAAAGGCCAGTGAGTCTCCATAGTAGATGGCCAAAGTGATTGCCCCGGGACTTGGGACCCGGGCGGCTACTACGATGTCGTGGTGCAGGACCAGGAGTAGACGGCCTGCTGTTGTATCCGACAAACGCAGATGAGGGAGATTGTGTGGTGATAGGGAAGCTTGGGAAGTGGTTCAGGATCAGTCTGAGGAGGCCGCCCAAGGCAAAAGCAATGTGGCTCAGGAAGAGGACCTGGCGCACCTTCATAATCCTTGGGATCAGGACAAAGTAGCACAGATCTGATGCAAGACTGGATCGAGCCACCGGCCACGTTCTGTGAGGCCCGCGAGTACTGTACCTGGCCAGTCGTGTCATAGGCAGGCATGAAGTGGGATAGAGACTGGCAATCGCAGTGGCAATGGCAACGGCGCCGCTGAGCACAGTTTTCCTCATATCTTCGCCGGTTAAGGGCTGCCAGGCTCCAGCAGATGCCACTCCGTGGCCGAGGAAATGGAAGCTCTGCAGGCTTGAAGTGACCACAGGGAGCAAAATCACATCAGGTGATCCCTGTGTCCTATCGCACACCGCTGTCCTACTCACGTCTGGTGGGGCGGGCTCGCCTGAGCAGCATGCTAGGCATCCCATTGCACAGGCAAGCCCTCTGAAGCACTGAACTGTGACACACATAAGGTAAGCAGCCCACTTCCTGGTGGGCCTCGCTTTCGGCTTGGCCTTGGCAGATGGTGTAGCCAAAGTCGGCGCAGCCAGCGAAGTCGTGGTAGCGGAGCCACCCGGAAAAAGGCCACCGCCCGAGGAACTCGCCGCAGCAGAGCCGTTAGAGTGGCCATGCCCCAGCCAGTCGGGATCCGCCATGTTGTCGGCCCCATCGAAATCGAAGTCGGCGATTGGGTCCTCATCGTCCTCGACTGCTGGCCTTCCCTCTGTGCGAGCACGAGCCTCCTCGATCGGGCCGTCATCACTGCCGCACCAGAGAGCCCACGGGTGGGCTGTTCCACGAGTCGGCAGAGCCTGCAGGTGAATCCCCAAGAAGCCCGATCGCAGGGCGTCAGCATCTATGTCCGTCAAGGCTACCTGCACATCATGTCCTTCACGGATTAGTGCATCAGCTACTGCTCCAGAAATTCGGAATGACAATGCCCTCGCTGCCAGCACC